GGTAACGGTGTGTGCCTTACCCACCACAGCAGCTGCTGAGGTGGGCATCACTGACAGCCTCACAGATGAGGAAGCTGGGGCTCGAGGAGGCCAGCACTTGCTTCCTGGGTACACCCGCATCATCTGCAAGATGCTAACCAAGATATTGTGCCTCAGTTTCCCATGATGGCCTCTAGGGTTGCCTTCCTCTCAGGGCTATCAGAATAGCGTAGACTGTCACATCCTTTGCTGGTGAAGGACAAGCGGCCGCCCCTTCCACTAACACTCAGGAGATGGTCACACAGGCGGATTCCCACGCTAGAAGGAACTGGGTTTAGCAGCACTGTTGTTAACAACCAAATCTACATGACCCCTGAGTTCCATGGAGAGGCCTATGGACATATGAACTGGCTCTTACCTCCTTGTCCATCTACTCACCAGGTCAGTTCACGTTTATTGAGCACCTTCTAAATGCTGCACATGAAGCAGTGAACAGGGACTCACTGCAACCCCATCACTGGCTTGTCCTCAGGGCCCCACATCAAATCATGGGTCCCTAGGCCCGCTTTCCCTGATGTCTAGAACTACATGGCTCCGTGATGACCTGGCACCTGCTGCAAGAGTTTTGGCAACATGTCCCCAGCAGTCTCTGGCCCCTGGCCCTGCCCCTCAGTTTTCACAGTCTTGTCCACTCCCTGTGGGAAGACAGGACTCACACTGCATGTCTGTGAGGCCTTGGGGCAGAGGGCCTGAGAACCAGGGGAGCTGGGGACATGGCAGGGTGCATCCTGAGCATGCTGGGCACTGGCACCCCTTTAAGGAACCTCTCCAAGCATTCTGCTTTCACACAGGACAGTTGAGAAATAGGACTCAGCCCTGTTCTTTGTGACCAGCATCCTCACTGAACTGGAGTCCTTGTGAGGTTCCCTGGGAGACCCCAAATCTCTGCCTGCCCCTCACTCTTACCCTGTGAAAACCTGGAGGACACTGTTATAGCCTTGTCTTCATATCTATCAGCTGTCTACGGGGTCTGGAGCTAAGGTCAGTATGGCCTATAGCACCAGGAGAGCTGGAGCAAGGGCAGGAAAGAGCAATGGGTGGGGACACTCTTCTGCCAAATCTTGTCTCTTCTCAGACATGAGTCTGCATCCTTGGCCATCTCTCTTTGGAATCAGCTTGTCAGAATGCCACTTAGAATTCCTTCAACTGCCCTGCTCTCCTCCAGATGCCTAGGTGGTTCCCCCAACCAGAGGAGCCTTACTGTGGCTTAACCACAGATGCAGGACCTGGCTACCCTGATCTTAGAGCTTAGATGGCCAAGAATCTAGCTAGCTGGAGCCCTCAGGGCTGACTCAGAGCTAAAGAAAACAAAACCAAAACCAAATAAACAAAAAGCCTTCACCTGATTCCTGAATCTGAATTGAGTTGATTCAGGCAAGGGCCAGACACACTGAGATTGCTGTCCTGAGGAGGAGGCACTTCAGGCCAACTGAGGCAATGCCTGGGTCAGGAGCCACAGCAGGGATGCAGGGAAGCTAAGATCTAGTCCAGGCTGCTTAAAAGACAGCCATCTCAACAGATGGCTTAGGTGACACTCTGACCCCTAAGCTTTATCAGCATGGGAGGGCTCTGTATAGCCTCTCTCTGAGCTGTAGCTCTCTTAGCTGGACACCAACGTGTTTAACCGTGTAGGCAGAGACCATGGGCAGGAGCAGGCATGCACAAGGACAGGTATGACCTGGGACCAAGAGCACACGTCACTGTCTATGCATGGCAATGCCTCCTTGCACAGTAGTTTCTACTCCTGCAAGGACACGAGGGGCAGAGAAGGACTTCCAGAGCCTGAGCTACCCTGCACCCAGGCCTGTCACTTGACCCAGATTTCAGGCACACAGGGGAGTTCCAGGAACTGCAGATCAGCCAGCACATCCCAGCAGAATACAGAAAACAGTGCCCGAGGCTGGAGGATCTAGCAGGCTCCACAATGGCTCCACCCCTCCCGCTGGCAAGCACCCTGAGTGATGAGTGATGGTTTTTATATCCTGAGTGCAGGACAAAGTCACTCGGCCTCCCCACTCAGGGAGGAAGAACATAACAAGATCAGGCCATGACCTGTGAAATCTCCACCTACCTCAAGCCTCATGGGTCATGGTTAGACCCAGTGGAAAGGAGAAATTCAATGAGGGAGAACCAAGGTTTGCATGCTCTTCCCGTACTGCTTTAGTCCCAATTGGCCTGTGGCTCTAGAGCCGAAAGGAACTCACAGGAGCAGAGAGCCACGACTCGGGTAACCCCTGAGGGACAGAGCCACCACCTCCCTGGGTGTCACTGCCTCATCTGCTCCAGCGACCTCTGGAGGCTCTAGAGCAGTCATGAACAGGGAGCTGTTTCTCCTAACAACAGCCCCTCCCAAGAGGACACTCCAAGGTGGGGAGGAGGGCTGCTTGGTCCTCACATGAGGGGCCATACCCTAAAGGGCCTCACACCTTGAGAAGGGCCCACTCACCTCTTTGGCAAGCTTTAGTGCCTGGTCATAGAAGTTGGTTTCCATCAGTCCGAAAGAATAGATGCCTTTCACGTAGCTGTAAACAGAGAAAAAGAGTTCAGTTCCCAGAAGGCTGAACAGGAACAGGTGGGATGGAGTCCCCCAGCAGGAGCAGCTGGAGTCCACACACCAGGGCTTGTATGTGACTGTGTTTGGACACGGGGGCTTCACAGAAGGAACTGAGGTGAGATGCGGTGGGTGGCAATCTGATCGCTATTGTTCACTTCGTAACACAGCCGTGTGGAGCTGGTGGTGTCACCGAAGAAAGGACTTGTGACACCCCGATTCTGCTCAGGACCTCAGCAAGGGGCAGCACTAAAAGACTGACTCATGACCTCAACCCAGAGAGGAGCTGAGCTCAGCAGTCCTCCTTTAGAACTTCCTTTAGTACAAGACAAAGTGAAATTCAACCTGATGGTGATTTCCCAGAATCCTGTGCTGTCCATATGGCTCACCCACTCCTCAGACATCAATGCAGAGTCTCTCCACAGAGGATGACAGGGTCTATGGTCACCTCCCTGAGGAGCCTGGCACTATGGTAACTCCATTGAGGCTTCTGTTGCACCGTCCTGCACCCAGCCTGTGAGCACCCACTGACCAGCCTGCCAATCCCCAGAACTGATCCCAGTGCCCTGTTTGTCCAGCTCACCCTCCATTCTGGCCCACATACTTGCATTTCTCATCAGTCACCCAGGTACTGAGCCTCAAGATGGTTGGTCACAGGTGACAGAGGGGCTCTATCCTGTGTGAACAAAGACAGAAGCTACTGTCTAAGACTCAGGTGTCACTTTTACTGTCCACCACAGGGACACATGACAGCCTTTACTAAAGAGCAGTGGCTAGCAGGTGACTTAAAAAAATATTTACTGCTCAGGAATCAGAGGCAGGCTGATCTCTGTGAATTCAAGGCCAGCCTCGTCTACAGAGCTAGTTCTAGGCCAGTCAGGGCTACACAGAGAAACCTTGTCTCGAAAAACGAACAAACAAACAAAAAAATTTACCAAGGGATTACTGTAGGTCAGATGCTGTGGGATAGTCTCTATGCTGTGAATGTGTTGCTCTGATTGGTTAATAAATAAAGTGCTGATTGGCCAGTAGCCAGGCAGGAAGTATAGGCAAGACAAAGAGAGAGGAGAATTCTGGGAACAGGATGGCCAGGTGAGGAGACGCTGCCATCCACCATGATGAGAAGCAGATGTTAAGATAATGGTAAACCACAAGCTATGTGGCAACTTATGGATTAATAGAAATGGGTTAATTTAAGATATAAGACTTAGATAGCAAGAAGCCTGAGCCACATGGCCAAACAGTTTATAAATAATATAACCATCTGTGTGTTTATTTGGGTCCAAGCAGCTGGGGGATTCGCAGATGAGAAAGATTTGTCCTGACCGTGGGCCAAGTAGGACCAGGAGATAACCCCAGCTACAGTGAGGTACTACTAGCTCACAAGTGTTATATCTTCAATTTGGCCGAACCATGGTACCTGGACCTGTGGTCAGGCACCATTCTAAGGTCAACACAAAGGGTATTTGTATTAGAAGTGAGTACTTTTCAATCAGAAGACTTAGACACAAACAAGATTCTCAATAACGTGAATGGGTCTTGTCCAATCAGGTGACAGTCATAGAGAAAAAGTCACAGAAAGAAAAAGACACTTGGCCTTCCATATTCCTTTAGATACAAAGAGGAAGTTGAATTCTATGGGAATTTCTAGCCTGTCACCCTGCTCTACAGTTTCTGAATCTACCAGATGCTACCTAAACAGCTCTCTGAAGAGCAACCCTTTCCCTTGTAGCAACTGGTGTATCCACAGGTTATTGCTCTATACATCTTGATAATAGACAAGGATGTGGCCACAGAATCCATGGACCCATATAGATGATAGGAAATAGCCAGGCATGGTGGCTCATTACCTATAATCCCAATATCTAAGAGGATCAG